TGCGGTTACGCTTCTTCGCCACCGGAGAAACTAATACAAGGCGGAAAAAGACATAATAACAGAGAAAGAGCACAGGATGACTCACTGGTCAAGATTAATGATAGAATCCATGGAATTTGGAATCGAGCCGCTTGTAGAGCTAACACTAATCTCCTCCTCGACCACCGCTGAAATCTCTAATCTCTGCTCATTTCCGGTACAATAGCTCGCCGGGAAGAGAAATTTGCTCCAGTTTGCAACACCAAATACATCCTTGCAGAGAAAAAAAACAACGAAAACTGCGACGAGATGGAGGACGATCGCGACGGTTGTTAAAGGCCAAAAGATGTTCGGATTCCGTGAACGAACTCGATTGTTTTCCCCAGTTGATTTAGGCATTTTCCGCCTTAGGTGCCAAGCACGGCCGCATGAGCTTGGGGACCCGCAATCAGCGTGCCGATGGTGTAGGTTACCGTTCGTGGTCGCCATTGAATGAGCTTTATCGGCCCTTTCGCAAAATGTCTGGAAAGGTCTGTTTCGATCAAGAAAAGGAATGCTAGTGTTTATCTGAAGCTCTGAAACAAAAACCTAGAGGTAAAAAACCAGACGCGCTCTTCTTCTTCGCTAAACTGCTCTGTTGTTTTCAAGAACAAAAAAGCTTGAAAAGCGAAGGAAGAATGGAGAGAGAGAAGTCCTCTCCTAAAGAAGCATTGAACTGAATCTACGAACATCCTCCATTGGCGCTCCTTCCTTTTCCTCACTCGGCACAGTTATCTTTCTGTAGAAGAACCAGTGAATCTCACCGCTTTTATTATCTGGAGATTTTACATATATACCACACTACGCCTATGTATTTACATATCTAGCCCCTAAATTTTTATAATGAATTTTAATATTTGACTGAAATTTTAAAAAATAGATGAAGGAGTGCTAAATTTGTAAATAAAAATGCTCGGGTGCTATATATGTAAGTTTTCCTTTCAATTTTTTAAAGATTTTACATACATACCACTTAATGCCTTTGTAAGATTCACATAGGTGCCTCTCAGTTCTTATTTTTTTAAATATCTAATATCTAAACTTTAATTTATTTCTATAATGTATATTTTATTTTCTTAAGTTAAATATATATATATATTTTTTTTTGCGTAACATAAAAAAATTATATTGGTGGTATGTAGGGCTGTAAACGAGCCGAGCTTGAGCGAGCTCAGGCTTGGCTCTTGTTCGGCTCGTTTGAAATAGCTCGTGTTCGAAATCGGCTCGTGAACAGTGTGCTCTTGTTCAGCTCGATTTAAATATTCGTGTTCGGCTCGAAATTGGCTCTTTAAACTTAAATCGAGAAAAATAGATGTAAAGTGTGAGATTTGAACCTAAATCAAATATATACAAAAGAAGACGCTAACCACATTGCCACATGAGGTGTTATGATTTAAATTTAGACATAACTATATATAATATATTATTATATAAAAAGTTATATAAAATTTTTTTTATTTCGAGCTAGAACGAGCCAAACACAAGCGAATAAAAAGCTGTTTGTGTTCGACTTGTATAATTCGAGTTTTAAAAATTTGTTTGTGTTCAGCTCGTATACTTAACGAACGAGTTGAACACGAGCTATTTAACAAACCAAACACGAGCTGTTCGCGAACAACGAGCTTTTTGACAGCTATAGTGGTATGTATTAAAATGCGCTAATTCCTTATTAGCTCCCACTGCTTACATTTAGTCCAAAAGTTTATCGAATTGCTAAAATAACCCTAGATCAAAATAAACTTTTAACATTTTACCTTTTTTTTTTTTGTCTATATATTTAATAACTAAATATTATTATTTACATTCATACAATTTTTTATACGGCATCAAAAATAGTATTATATTGACTTTCAAAAAATTAGATGGATATTTTTATGCAAGTGATGCAAATCTGGGAGGAATTGATTCAAATCTTGAAGGAAATATGGAGACGTATATCAATGCAAAGGTAAATCTGAAAGGTTGATAATTTAATTCCGTAATCCGTGCAATCACAAAGGAGTTTTGAAAAGTTCAGGTTTTTAAATAATTTTGTATGTTATTATGTTAAATTTATTGTTTTCGTAATTTGAATTTCTAGTTATTGCTTTCTAAGTTTAATGGGAAAATAATATTTATTATTTTTTAATTTAATTTCCTAGTTATTACTTTCCCAGTTGAGATGATAATATAATAATGTAATTTACTATTTAATGGAGTAATGAAAAAAAAGGGAGTTTTTCTTTGGTTCTCGATTCAACTTTCTTTCAATTACCGTTGGTGAGTCATCCAACACTGTAGAGAGATTCTGCATTAGTCATCTTTTGAGATCAATGAGATATTGACTTGAGGGAGCGACGCCAACTTGGTATTAGGGCGGGTTTTTTTGCTTCAAGGAAGTCAAATATTTTATGTTGGTAGCCCGCAGTGGCAACTTTTACATTATGTCAAATAACCAAAACCAAAGCACTGATCTAGCCCAGCTACAAACACAGATTACCCAACTGGCATCGGTTCCAGAACATATCATTCATAAATTGGATACCATGGAGGAGCATCAAACCCGAGATGAGTTTGTGTCTCGTAATAGAAGTATGTGCGGTCCTCCTCCGGAAGCCGAAGTAGATGATAATGAAGAAGATGAAAATTCCAAGAGATTTGGTGATCGTGAAGCTTACTCTGGACGAAATGGTCATGGAATTCCCAAGGGACGAAGAAAGTGTGACTTCGACCGTCACCCTCATGATAAACTAACTAAGAGCATGAAGGTCGATATTCCAGACATTCTTGGAAAGTTGGACCCCATTGCTTTGAAGATTGGTTGACGGCTATTGAGGATTATTTTGATTGGTTCTCTATTTTCGAAGATAGAAAAGTATGTTATGTCCGTATGAAATTAAAAGGGCATGCACGAGCTTGGTGGAGTAGCGTAGAAAAACAACTACGTCGTACTCAACGGGTGCCAGTGGCCAATTAGGAAGAAATGAAGGAGCGGCTAAAGGAGAAATATTTACCTATTGACTATGAGCAAATGATATTTGAAGACATGTTGCGACTAAGACAAGGAATATTGACTGTCAACCAATACACAAACCATTTCCATGAATTGACTGTCCGCAGCAAGGTGGTGGAAGACAAACATCAAACTCTAGCTCGAAATCGCTTGAGGTTACATAATGAGTTGCGAAAAGTGATGCTAATAGCACAGATCCTAAATGTTGATCAAGCTTACCAATTGGCTTTATGAGTTGAAAAATGATTAAGATTCTTCAACGGAAGGCGCATGTCATCTACGGATCCCAAACAGGAATGAGCATCAACACAGCAATACCAGAAACCATCTCTACCCACTGACCAAGGTAGACACACCATGATAGGTGACCAAAGAGAAAAATCCAAATTTATGGGCGACGGGCCACAATGCTATAAGTGCAAGGGGTTTGGATATTTTGTTGTAGTATGTCCTACAAGAGAAAAAAATGACATTTGTGTGTGAAAAAGAACTTCGATTAGTGGACACCATGGATGGAGGGGAAGAATTAGAATACGAAGCAAGCGACGACGAGGATGTAGAGCACTTGGGAGCAACTGATTTGCCCAGTTGTGTGATTCGTGTGATTCACGTGTGATTCACCGAGTTTTGACGAGTGCTAAGAAAAAGATCCAAGGTGCTGATCTTGATTGGAAGCGCACCAACATTTTTCATATCTGAATGGAGCATGGTGGTCGTGCGCTAAATATAATAATTGACAACTAGGGTGGAATGAATGTGATTTCCAATGATGCAGAGGAATGCTTGGATTTGAAAATTGAAAAACATCCCACCCACCCGTGATCGAGTAAGTTGGGTTAATGAAGTTAACCTCATTTTAGCTACACATCGTTGCTTAGTGAGTTTCACAATGGGAAAAAGTTATTTGGATGAGGTCTGGTGTGATGTGGTTCTCATGAACATTTGTCATTTGTTATTGGGTCGACTCTGACTCTATGGCAGAAAGGTGGTGTATGACGGGTATGCCAATTCTTACTTTAATGGCACAGAATTTTGTTTTAGACCCTTTTGCAGATCTCTAAATTTGAAGCACAACCGAAGCAAAAAAAAGGTAGAAGTCTTTCCAGTGCTAACCATTAGGCAATTCACTCAAGCTCTAAAGGAAGAACAACTAGTATTGTTAGTAGTGAAACGAGATGCTAAACAGGACGACGGTATTATCCCGAACGAATTTACAAAGACGTTAGAGAAGTTCCAAGACATTATGACCAAAGAGATGCCAAAATAACTACCACCAATACAAGAGGTACAACAAGTGTCAGCAACCACAAACATACCGGCCCAAGGGATGAAATTGCGTCCATACCCGATCACCAGTTTGTTACTACTCGGCGTGGAGGATATTACAATTTATTAGTTCAATGGAAGAATCATCCAAATTCAGACTTTGTCTAGTTGCAAGCATCAGAACTCTGGCGTTTAAACCCACATATTTTTGTTGCTTACCTTCTTCAAAACTTGTTGAAGTCAAGTTCTTCGGGAGAGCCGGCAATTGATGCAAATCTAGGTGGAATTGATGCAAATCCGGAAGGAAATATGAAGGCAGATATCAACGCAAATGCAAATCCGAAAGGGTGATAATTTAATTCCATAATTCGTGCAATCACAAAGGAGTTTTGGAAAGTACAAAGGAGTTTTAGAAAGTTCGCATTTTTGGAAGTTAATTATTAGATTATGTATTTTATTATGTTAAGTTTATTGCATTATTTTCGTAATTAGAATTCCTAGTTATTGCTTTCCCAGCTTGATGGGAAAACAATTATTAATTTAACTTATTTAATGGAAAAATAATATTTATTGTTTTCTTAATTTGATTTCCTAATTATTACTTTTCTAATTGAGATGAGAATATTGTAATGTAATTTGCTATTTAATGGAGTAATGAAAAAAAAAATGAGGAAATTTTTTTTTTGTTGTCAATTTAACTTTCTTTCAATTACCGTTGGTGAGTCTTCCAACACTGTAGAGTGATTCTGTATTAATCATCTCTTGAGATCAATGAGATATTGACTTGGGGGAAGGACATCAGCAAGGGAAGATGGTATGCATGTAAAAATTGAAGTTTTGGTGTTAGATATGTAAGTATGTTGGATTTGAGTGGTATCAATGTAAATCTTGTTCAAAATTGTAGTGTCTTAAATTGTACAATGATGTGATTGATGTTGTTGAATCATTTTAGGACTTGAGGTCTAGTGTTGTTTGTGGATTCATACAAGAATATGATGGAAGAGAGAGAGGGAGATAAATGAAATTTACTAGAAGGAACTTAGAGTAATCCATATATGTAGCTTCCTTCTCTAATGTTCTTTGCTATCGTTTTAATGTGGATGAGATTCACAACTGTCGTAACTTTCGAGCCATAAGTCATGCTCGGTATCAGCATCGCCTCTTGAGCCTTTTAAAAACTTCGGTTCTAAATACCCTGCAACGTCCTTAATGAATGTTGTCATATATGGTTGATACAACCACTCTCTCTAACACCTTCAAAAAAAAAATCCCTAATTGCTCGACAGCTATAAGATATTGTTGGTATGGTCATCGTCTCAGGCACATTTGAAAGACTTCTGTTTTAATTGCTTAACGAATTCTTTAATGAAGGATTGATAGGTATTTTCATCAGTCACTTTGGTTTCTTTTGATGGTTGATTTTGATACTACTTCGCTTTGGCCACCCTAACTGATGGGCTAAGTTCA